ATGAATGAATGAATGAATGAAGTAGAAATGTCATGAGTGAATGAATAAAAATATAAAGCAACAGTGTTTTTTTTTTAAAAAAAAAAAATCAAACCCAGGTGGCTCAGTGGCTAAGACGCTGAGGTTGTCGATCAGGAAGGCCATCAATTCGGCAATTCAAATCCCAAATATAGGTCTCCTGAGTGAGCAGGTTGGACTAGATGACCTCCAAGGTCCCTTCCAACTCTGTAACTGTTAACTCACTTGGGGGCTGCTGTAAAGCATCTTTCAAACAGCAGCGGGCGAAGGACCTCCTTCCATCATTCAGGCAGGAAAACTGAAGGAAAAGAGTAGAAGTTGAAGGAAGCCTGGGAAAAGAAATCTTAAAGTCAACAAATTCCAATTTATTCGATTTATTTCACCACTGAAATAAAGTGGTGAACTTCAACCCAACCTCTCAACTCATTGAGAAGAGGGACCGGCCTACCTCGCAGGGCTGTAAAGAGAGCGAAGCTAGGGCCTTCCAGCTGCTTGGCACGCCAATGCCCATAAACCTTAGACATGGGCTTTCAAACAACCCCATGCCATTGAAACCTGCCCCCCCCCAAATATTTGGCACTCCAATGCCCATCATTCCCATTTCAAACTAGCCATGGTAATGCAAGCTGGGGCTCTCCCAACTGCCTGGACACTCCAATGCCCATAACTCTCAGCCAGGCCCTTTCAAGCAACCCATGCTGCTGAAATCTGGGTTCCCCCAACTGTTTAGTACTCCAATGTCCATAACGCTCAGCTGGGCCCTTTCAAACTACCCATGTGACTGCAAGCTGGGGCTCCCACAAATATTTGGCACTTCAATACCCATAACTCCCCGACAGGGCCTTTTAAACTATCCATGCCACTGAAATCTGGGCTCACCCAACTGTTTGGCACTCCAAGGCCCATAATTCCCCTTTCAAACTAGCCATGGTAATGCAAGCTGGGGCTCCCCAACTGCCTGGACACTCCAATGCCCATAACTCTCAGCCGGGCCCTTTCAAGCTACCCATGCTACTGCAAGGGCATGGTATTGCAATGCCCATCATTCCCCTTTCAAACTAGCCATGCTAAAGAAAGCTGGGGCTCCCCCAACAGTTTGGTACTCCAATGCCCATAATTCCCCGCCGGGGCCTTCCAAAGAGCCCCGTCCTAAGCTGAAAGCGGCTGCGGGGACAAGGTCAAAGGAGCCCAAGCGGACGAGCGAGGCTCGACCTGCCGAACAGCCGCCTGCGAGGGGCCGAGGCGGCGTCGCTTCCCTCACCCGGAGCCTCCCGAGGGCGCCCCTCAGTCCCCCGTCGCTTAGTAACCGTTGCCACGCCGCCATCTTGCCCTGGAGGGGAAGAGGAGGTCAAACGGGAGGGCACTTCCGGGTCGCGCCGCCGCGACTTCCGGTGCGGCGCGGAAAGATGGCTGAACCGCCGCGCGGGCGAGAAGAAGGAGATGGAGAAGAAGGCGAGGCGGGATCGTCGCTGCTTTCCCCCGAGCTGGAGCGTTTCCTGAAGCGGCACCCGAGCTTGCGAGTCCTCCCTCCGGGGAAAAAGGTGACCGGCGCTCCCGCCCATTCCCGGGTCTGCAGAGCTCGGAGGGGATGGTGGATAGGAGACCACGAGGAAATCCCAAGGGGTCCCGTCCCCCCCCAGGTTGCGCGTGGATTGGGCTTTTGTCTTAGGGAGGCGGCTCTTGTGGAGAGGTTAAATTGGCAGCGCCTGCCCTGCTTTCTCCAGCCTCAGAAGCTGAA